ACAGAAAAAAAAAAAAGAAGAAAGAAATATGACAATTAAGTGCAGCACAGGATCCTCTCCTGGAACCTGGACTAGAAGGGGAAATGCACCTTATGATATCAATTGATAAAACTGGAATGTAGACAGCAGATTAGGAAGAAATATCATATCGGTGTCACTGAACTACAGTTATATAAGTAAATCTTCTTATTCTGAGGTATATAGGAGTAAAGGGCCATGATGGATGCAACTTATTCTCAAATGGTTCAGGGAAAAATAATACATGCCTATAGATGAATCTGGATAAAACTTACATTGGAACCCAGGCATGGTGGCTCTCACCTGTAATCCTGGTACTTTGGGAGGCCGAGGAAGGAGGATTGCTTGAGCCTAAACATTTGAGACTAGCTTGGGCAAAGTAGCAAGACCTCATCTCTACAAAAAAATTTAAAAATTGGCTGGGTGTGGTGGCTCAAGCCTATAATCCCAGCACTTTGGGAGGCCAGGCACAAGGATTGCCTGAGCCTGCGGGTTCGAGACCAGCCTGGGCAACATGGTGAGACCTTGTTTCTACAATAAATCAAAAATTAGCCAGGTGTGGTAGCACAGACCTGTATTTCCAGCTACTTGGAAGGCTGAGAAGGATCACCTGAGTCCAGCAGGTCAAGGCTGCCGTGGCCAGGAATGTGCCACTGCACTCCAGCCTGGGCAACAATGTGAGACTCCAACTCAAAATTTTAAAAACTCAAGCCTGGCTCGGTGGCTCAGCCTATAATCCCATGCCTTGGGAGGCTGAGGTGAGTGGATTGCCTGAGCCCGTGGGTTCGAGACCCGCCTGGACAACTTGGTGAGACCTCATCTCTACAATAAATCAAAAAAATTAGCCGGGCGTGGTAGCACGCGCCTGTAGTTCCAGCTACTTGGAAGGCTGAGGCGGAAGGATCGCCGGAGCCCAGCAGGTCAAGGCTGCCGTGGCCAGGAGCGGCCACTGCACTCCAGTCTGGGCGACAGAGTGAGACTCCAACTCAAAAAAAAAGAAAAGAAAAAAAATTTACAATTTTGGGCCTGGTACAGTGGCTGAAGCCTGTAATACCAGCACTTTGGGAGGCAGAGGCGAGAGAATTGCCTGAGCCCAGGGATTCGAGACCAGCCTGGGCAACTTGGTGAAATCTATTCTCTTATAAATCAAAAAAATTAGCTGGGTGTGGTAGCACATGCCTGTAGTTCCAGCTACTTGGAAGGCTGAGGCGGAAGGATCAAGGCTGTGGTGGCCGTGAGCATGCCACTGCTCTCCAGTGTGGGTGACAAGAGGAGATTCCAACTCAAAAAAAAGAAAAAACATGTTTACAATTTCAGGCCGCGCACGGTGACTCAAGCCTGTTATCCCAGCACTCTGGGAGGCCAAGGCGAGAGGATTGCCTGAGCCCAGGGATTGGAGACCAAACCCGTCTCTACAAGATAAATCAAAAAATTAGCTGGGCGTGGTAGTGCGGGCCTGTAGTTCCAGCTACTTGGAGGGCTGAGGCGGAAGGATCGCCTGAGCCCAGCAGGTCAAGGCTGCGGTGGTAGTGAGCATGCCACTGCACTCCAACCTGGGCGACAGAGTGAGACTTCAACCCAAAAAAACTAAAAAAATGAAATATTTACAATTTCATGTTATGTGAACTTCACCTCAATGAAAAAAAAAAAAGTTAAAGCAGCCCAGTGGCCCATATCTGGAGTCCCAGCTACACTGGAGGCTGAGGCAGGAGGATTGCTGGAGTCCAGGGGTTTGAGGCCAGCCTGAGCAACATAGTGAGACCCCATCTCATTAAATAAATAAATAAAAATTCAAGCAAACAGCAAACCAGTCTGGTGACATGACAAGCGTGCGAGCTTTGCAGTCTGGCTGGCTTGGATTCAAATTCCAACTCTGCTACTTCCTACTTGCATGCCTCAGGTGGATTCCTAATCTCTCTGAGCCTCAGCGTTTCCTCCCTTATGGTAGCGAATAATAAGATGTGTTTCCGGGGTTAATTGTGAAGATAAACTGATATGAAGGTATATAATGTTTCTGACACAGAGGCTGACACAGAGGAAGCACTTGTGTGTTGACAGTTGTGATGGATGATGACAATGATGAAGGTTTGGTTCAACCACATAACCCATGTGGATGAGCTGGGTGAAACAAAAAAATGTCCAGAGTCAGACCCGCCAGTCACGGCGGCTCAAGCCTATAATCCCAGCATTTTGATGGGCCGAGGTAGGAGGATTGCTTGAGCCCAGGAGTTCAAGACCAGCCGGGACAGTGTAGCGGGACCTTGTCTCTACAAAAAAATGGAAAAATTAGCTGGGTGCAGTCCCAGCTCCTAGGGAGGCTGAGGTGGAAGGATCGCCTGAGCCCAGGAGGTCGAGGCTGCAGTGAGCATGACAGTGCCACTGCACACCAGCCTGGGTGACAGAGTGAGACGTCGACACACACACCAAAAAAATCAGACCCTCCAACCTGAGTGCATGCAGGCTAGCATCCTGGTGAAGATCCTGTACTGTGGAGTATAACTCACTACTCACGGGTCTTGTGATCATAGACGGATCACCCTCTCTGGGCCTTAATTTCCTCCTCTAAAAAATGGGGATAAAAATAGTACATACCTCATGAGATTAACGTGGCTTAAGTAAGATAACGTTTGAAAAATACCTAGAACTATGCTTGGTATTGAGGAAGCTCTGGGCGTGTTAAGTAAGATGGGGTTTTCCCCACCACATGTAGATAAGACTTTGGTCTCAACCCCTGCCCAGAGCTGAGGTAGCAGGAGGAGTAACAACCACAAGTGTGAGTAGTAAGCCAGGCACACACACCCACACTCACACACTCACAAGCACCAGACAGAGCTGCCTCCCCTCCCACAGAGTTGCTTCCCCAGACGGGGCGGGTCACAGTCGCCCCTTTCCAGGGTCCAGCTCTCACCATTGCCCAGCCAGGAGGCCACCCTACTATGGCTTTCATGGGAAAGGGGGCAGCTCATGGGGCCAGAATGCCTCAGAGTTGGTCAAATCAGGGAGGCCAGGTGTTGGCCAGGAGAGCCGCATTAGGATACAACCAACTGGCTGTGCACAGTGGCTCACACCTGTAATCCCAGGACTTTCGGAGGCCAGGGCAGGAGGATTGCTTGAGGCCAGAAGTTCAAGACCAGCCTGGGCAATATAGCAAGAACTCACCTCTACAAAAAATAAAAATAGGCTGGGCTCGGTGGCTCAGCCTGTAATCGCGCACTTTGGGAGGCCGAGGTGAGTGAATTGCCTGAGCCCGCAGGTTTGAGACCTGCCTGGACAACTTGGCAAGACCTCATCTCTACAATAAATCAAAAAAATTAGCCAGGGATGGTAGCGCGCTCCTGTAGTTCCAGCTACTTGGAAGGCTGAGTCAGAAGGATAGCAGGAGCCCAGTAGGTCGAGGTTGCGGTGGCTGGGAGCATGCCGCTGCACTTCAGTCTGGGCGACAGAGTGAGACTCCAACACAAAAAATAAAATAAGCCAGGCTTGGTGGCTCAGCCTGTAATCCCACGCCTTTGAGAGGCTGAGGTGAGTGGATTGCCTGAGCCCGCGGGTTCGAGACCCGCCTGGGCAGCGAGACCTCATCTCTACAATAAATCAAAAAATCAGC